CTCGCCGCTCGACCCGATGCGCTCACTGAGGTGGGCGCCATGGCGATCATCTATCTGGGCCTGGCCGGCGGCATCGCCAGCGTCTTTGGATGGCGGGTGAAAGCGGTGCTGTACGCGGCCTGGGCCGTGGGCGAGGCCATCGCGGGTGTCCTGGGCGCAGAATGGGGCGCGCGGGGGCGCGGGCGAACGGTTGGTTGGGGGAAAACGGTTTGGTGGGCAAGGTGGCGGGCCATGACCATCTGCAGTGTGTTGATCGGTCATCAACGGTGGAGAGATGTGTTTCACTCCTGGCGCCCGGAGGGAGGAAAGACCCCCAACGTTGGGGAACACTCAAAGCCAAACGGCTCCGCTCCTCTCCCAAGCACCACTCTTTTCGATCGAAGCTCCGCAGCACCGAAGGTCCGGTCGAGGCACTGGGAGGATGGGGGCTCTCTGAGGTGTGGCAGTCTCTGGTGGATTGATTTGGGGCGCCTGGAAGCTTCTGGGCACCGAGAATGGAATTGAGACATGGCTGAACTCATGGGGCAACGAGGAGTGGAAAGGATGTCAGACGGCATGTGCACAGTGGATGAGGTTTACAGGCCGGTGGACCATAGGAAGAGTCAAAGCTCAGAAAGTGACAGCTCCAAATCTCTTAATCCTGTCTTCTGAAAGAGCGTTTGACTTCTTGGCCTCTTAGATACTGTATGATGGGACGTGGCTCGGTGTTCTTCTGAACATTGCGTGCCACGAGGAAGCTGAAGAAAGTGGTCCCACAGGTCCTAGACAACTGGTTTCTACCTCCTTTTGGCGAGGGTCGCGCCACCTGATCTCACTCGCGATGATTTAGGAGCAAGATTGGCTGTTCCTTTGGTGCATCTTCTGGGGCAACGGCGTACTCAGTCTAATCTCATTGGCCCTTGTTCCTCTTCTGTGCCTGGGCTGAAATGTACTGAACACACTGGCTGGCTGGATGTCGAAGAACGGCGGCCAGAATTTGAGATACCCTCCTTTGAGAGGGGTGCCTTTGTGCAGTTGTCAGTGTTGAGGAGAATATGATTATTTGGATTCACATTTGGACTCTTCCCTCCACTTTTCTGACATCTTCGTGCGGCTTTTGCTTTCGTACCGGAAGCACCAATGGGACCTATACCATGAAATACCGAAGGCGATGGAAGACCCCACGCATCCTCGGCTCCTCCCTCAGACCTCGTCTCGGGAAGTGTGGAAGACCGAGGCTGCTGCGACGCTTTCGAAAAGAAGAGCTGGAAGCGCTGAGCCCATGTGGAGAGGAGGCCGGGCGCAAGTCCATCCACTGGCTGGGTTTCTACTAGACTTTTCTGAGAGTTCAACACCAAAAACGAAGGGATCTCGGTCCATTTCGGTCCAGGGTTTTCACCTAATTACACCAGGACCTAAGCCTTTGAGGCTGAAAAAGGAGTTTGGAAGACCGATGTTGTATTCGCGATTCCGAGAGAATGAAGCTGGGCATACACCTTTCAGGTGCCGCTTCACTTGGAATGAGTTAGATGTGAGTGTGCAGACTGAATAGATAGCCCCCATCAATGCGATTGATTATATAATTTTCTATTGGATCTTCCATTTTGCCATTGGTTTACAGTGGCCTCCCACTGGTCAAGCGTATATGTATGGTTCTTACCAGCTTTATTGGCTTGGGCTACCTTCGTGACGTTCCCTTTTTCGTTGGGCAGAGCGGGACCCATCGCCTTCCCCTCGAGGTCAGCCCCTGGCGTTGCACCAGTGGCATCGCCTCACCGGTGGAACCACCGGTTAAGAAGTGCCGCCAGAGGAGAGCGGGGAGCACTGTCGCATTCTTCACTTCACGTCTACCCTTCAGTGTGATAGGGTTGAGAAGAACCAACCTGTCCAAAGCACCGTGAAGCAGATCGAAATGGCGACCTGTCCGAAGCGAGTTCCGACGGGGTGTTTCTTTAAAGTCCCATCCAGTGAGGGGATCATGGGCATCCCTATCCTCCAAGCTCGGCACCCCTTTGGAGCTGCTTCTGTCGCTCGGTGGCTTTATGGTGACTCGTCTTCCGAAGAAGTGGGCCATCCAAAAAGGGCGGGATGCCCGCAGCCCCCACGCCGGCCGTTGAGGCATGTGTTGGAGGTTCTCACCAGCTTCCACCGAACCTGTTTAGCAGGGGCATACTAGCCACTAGCTCAGAGGCCTCGCAGTCCAATAAAGAAAAGTCGGCCACGTGCACGAACTGCAAAGACAAAACCACCACTCCCGCAGCTGAACTGACAAGGAGCATTCGCATCCTGCTTGTGCTTGCTGCCAGTGCTTGCGCCTGTTGCATGGCAACTTGGCAGCATGAGAGCAGAACATCCTTTATAAAGGTTGGTAAAATGATATCATTGCATGCACAAATAAACAAGATTAAACAAGTTGGTCAAGCCGCCATAGCCCACACATTGGACCTGACAAACACAAACCATGACGGACGGGAACCTATGGATCCATAATTTACCTCTGTGGCAAGAATATTTTGGGTCGCGGACAGGGAGTAGATGAATTCATATCCTGACAGGATGCCTCCTGCTTTGGCAAGCCACAAACAACAATGGTGCTTTGAAGTTTGCGCGATGTAAACATGAATTGCATGTAAAACCACAAGTTGAAGTGGTGTAATTAGGGAGCAACTATGCAAATCATTGCGAATCTCCGTCGGATTGAGCAAATCATTGTGGCTGAGTAGAGTACACAGTTGAATCTTGTGGTATCTCATGCCTCAGCTAAACCGCTTTTCGTCCAGCACTAGGGAGGGACTCAGCCACCACTGGAGTCACTTGAGTTGATCACAGATACAGAACAAAACGAACAAAACACGACCCGCCAAAAGAGACACGACGGAACGACACGTGAAAAAACACGTCCGACTCGTCCGTGTTCCCGTGCCGCCGTGGCGGTCGCCGAGGTCGCTGCTTCGGCTGTCTTCATGATGTTTCACTGCTTTCCGCCGGGGCTTTGGTTGGAGACCATGAAACCTGAGCTTCCCTGGGCTTCTTCGGAGCAAGTAAGTGGGGAGTGAGAGTAGCAGGATGGGATGGTGTTCTCATGTGTTTGCATGGGAAAGAGCATGTTAAGGATCGAAGATGAGATCTTCTCCCACCACGGATTCTTTGGGTCTGGTAATCACCCAATTCTCAATGCAGCAGGGGCCAACAAGCGCTCTCTTTCCGATCAAGGCAGCCATCCCATCGTGGACTTTCGTTGATCTGACACGCTGTGACAAGCTGAGAAGCCGCAATCCTTAAACAAAGCTTAGCTTAGGATGGCCTTCTCAAAGCTGTTTGCCCCTTCCCCTAGCTGCCTCTGGATGGCCTTCATGCATCTGAGGCTTGCCAGGGTTGTTTCTGCGCGAATGCCTCCGCAGACGTCTTAGTGACCCGCAACGTGAAGTACGGTTCGGCCTATTCGGAGAGGGATGGGTCGGAGACGGAGCTCTTCTTAGACGTGTACAGACGCTCCCATCACGGAAGCGCGAAAGCTCCAGCTGTCTTAATGATTCATGGTGGAAACTTCATGGGAGGCAGTAAAGATTGGGAACTCATTGCCACCGAAGCCGAGCACTTCGCGAGAGCTGGCTATGTCGTCTTCAACATCGATTACCGTGTGGATGGCAGAGACTTGGATTTTCAGCGAACGCACCCCGCCAGGGAACCCGTGGATCACCGGACCATCCCGGACCGGACGCGGCGTTTGGGGGTTGGTCGACCTGGTCGCGCGGAGTCCCGCGGTGGACGCGGCTTTTTCGGAACGGTTTGGAGTCTGGGAGGTGAAGTCATCTACCAAATACTCTAACACAAACATATTATATAGCCTTTAGGATTCCAACCACCATTTGATTTTCATAGGGTTTACTTTATAGGGTCTTGGACTCCCAGGGTTTACGAACTCCAATAAGGGCTGCAATTGGGAATGTGTCCAAACGACGAGCTTCTTACGTGTCCCTAGAAGTCCAACGACTTTTACTATAGACTTGACTTTCCCTTAGTGAAGTTTTCAGCATTTTTTTTTTTTCAGGTCCCCTTTTCAGAGAATTCTATGTATAGTGGACTCCCAGCATTAATAAACCCATGTAAAACCCCCAACCAGTTTTCAGCCATTCAGATAGCTTCAACTGGTTGGGTTGACTGGGACCACTTTCAGATTTCTGCACCTCCCGCACTCTTGTAGCAATCTGTGGGTTTTGGGATGCAGGAAACATTATACGATGATGTTTGCCCAAACAAAGAGGACGCTGCCCCTACAACTGCCCCTACGCTTCCACTTCGGCCTCCTTCTCCCACCGCTTCTCCGCTTCTCCGACCGTCCGGCGCCACTAGTGACCGGTCTCTGGCAGCGGAGGTTTCTACTTGGTCGACTTGCCCGCCGTCCGCGCTGCGGTGCACGACGCCAAGGCCGCGGTACGCTTCATCGCTCGCCACGCCGAGGAGTATGGCGTGGATGCGACGCGCATTGCGGCCTGGGGCGAGTCGGTGCCTGTGGATGCAGGAGCAAAACGTGGGGACCCGGAGAAATCACGACCCTCAAGGGGTGGTTAATGGACACCCCTTAACAGCTAAGGGGCTATAAATAGACACCCCGACAGGAGGGTCCTGGTATCAATTAGCTTAGACGACGCAATTGGTGGACTTCTTGTGAAGCTACCGAACGGTAAAGGGTGGATGAGGGTGGGGTCAACTCACCTACTTCGGTCAAGTCAATCCACTTTCGAAGGCATCAGGGAATGACAGACACGACAGGCCAGGCATCTTGAGAAGGATTGTGCAGATTCCAACGAGCAGAAAGAAGAGATCAGAATGATTCACCCGGGCAAAAAAGATCAAACACGTGCTGCCGGTGTTGTCCCATTTCCCAAAAAGAAACAGCAGTGGTTTTCAGAACACAGCTCTGACTCCGACTGGTGGTCTTCATCGCATTCTTCCTGTGCTCAAACTCAGCCGTCCCATGGTGGTGGTCGCCCGAGGCCGGTGGCATCACGGCGATCAGTATGAACAGCTTGGCGAGTGAGGGCAGCAGTGGCAATCCGGGATGGCCATCGAACATCTCCGTGGCGGTGAGTCGCTGGGAGTTGGTGGGACCTTCGGGAGATGGTGGGACCTTCGGGGAGATGGGTCTAAAGATGTCTAAAGGGTTCAAAGTGACGCTTTCTAGATGTCTAAAGCTCACTGCCAGGGAGACCGTGGGACCTGAAAGGGTTCAAAGTGATTGAAAGTGATGATGCTTGGGAAGAGCTTTGGGGGAGGCAGGATGACGCAGATGGTCAAATTCCATGTCTCCCATCTGGCGGTCAAAACCGAAAACCCTACAAACCATGGAAGGTTGACGATCCCTTTGTAGAGGGAGTTGTTCAATCGATCGGTTGGCAACACCAGGGTTCTGTTTTGGCGCCATCTCCTCCTCCCTTTTGTTTGGGCCATTGTGAGCACCTGTGAGCACCATCCTTCAGTCATGCGAGGTATCTCTGGCACCATGTGGCCATTCCTGGTGGGTGATCCGTCGAACCCCGTGCGGAACATCACACCTTGGTTCAATGTGCACGGCACCGACGACAGCATCGTGTTTCCCTTTCTTCCTGCCACTTGGCTGATCAAGGCAGGCAGGTCACAGCTTACGAGGCTGACCAGGGCCTTCCCTCAAGGGGTGGTTCATATAGACACCTCGACTGGGTGGCGTGGTCATGCGTGGTCTAGTTCTTTTTCATCAACGTCGTTTGAGACACTCTCTGACTTCCCCCTCTTCCTCGCCTTTTCTATATTTTAATTTTTCGCGCAATGCGACGCCCCCACCTACCGAGGTCATGACTCACACCTACCTTCTGGCACGTGGGATGCCAGCTACACGGAACCGCATAGTCTGGGTGAAGGGTGCTGGCCATGTGCCTTGGGGCACCAGCTCTCCCCTTGATGTGAGACACTTGGCGGACGACGGGCTCTCGTCGTGGGATGAGGTGGGATGAGGTCTGGGTAGATATTGGGACATCACGGTGTGGCCCGCCATGTGGGCTTTAAGCTTTTTAAAGACACCTACTGTTGATGGAAGAAGTCCAGCTATTTGCCAGATCATTGTACAGCATACTACTGGATGTGCCTACCAAAATACCAAGTGCTGCATCGTCATGTATTGCTTCGATCATCTGGTAACGGCAACGCATCTCCATGCGCTGAAGATGACTCATTTTCACCTGATGAATCTCAGGTTCATCTTTGCGACCTTTGATCTTCGACTATTTGTCCAATGTGATGGACTTGAGCCCTCTTTGTGCAACAAACAAAGGATGAGTTTTGAGATTACGAGCAGCTTGCAGGTGGTCCAGCCCAGAGAGCCTTTTCGGGAAGATAGGCTGAGCATTGACTTGTTTGTTTCATTGTGCTTCACATTCTTTGGTCAAAATTTGGATACCTTTTCTATCCTGAAAAGGGCCTTCTCACACGGGGTTGGCCAACCTGCATGCCTGCCATGAATTAGATGCACAGTTCTCGGACTTTTGGAGCCGAGTTTCTAGCGTTTTGTGCGTTTGATCATGCAGTACAGCCAGCTTCCCGTGGTTGAGCTTGGAACTACGGGAAGCAAAACATGCCTCCCAAAAATTCGAGCAAGCGCTACTGGCGACTGATTCTTGAGCAGTGCAACACCAGTATTGAATTTTTGTGCCACCGTTGGAGGGTTGATCTTTTGAGAGGGGCTTCCCCGAGCGGAACGCCGAAAGAAGAAGACGGTTCGCTCAAGCAAAAGATCAGGCTTCCTCGCGAGACCAACCTGCCTAAAGAGCATGGCGTCCTTCGCATCTGGGGCTCTACCGGCTCTCTCGGGCCATCAGTATCGACGAAAAGGATGCGAGGCAGATGAGGGTGACAAGCTGGAGAGCGCTGTCCGGGCACTGGCAGATACCCTGCCAGTAAAGATTACAGTGGAACCTGGATAGTAGAGGGAGCTCGCTATCCTGATTTCTGTACTTCTTGGTAATTTGGTCGAAGAACACAAAAATGGACCACAAGCGTCACAAGCGAGGCGTTCGCATGGACTTTGGGCCCACACCTTCGTTTCGAGCCTGGCGGTAGATACATGGCCCGGGGCGACTCGCCAGGGAACTCACACACGGAGGCCAGGGGTGGTGGTGTGGCTCGGCCCCTCCAGGGGGATAAGGGGCCGTGGTGAAGCACACTGAGGCGCCAGGCGACGGCCGAGATGGACGCTTTTGCCATGTGCCTCGGGCCGGCAGAACGGTGATTGATGTGCTCCAGTCATATATAGATCCCCAAGTATAGATAGAAGTAAAAGAGTAAACATGTAATTGTTGGTCACTTTTTTTTTAGATTTGCTATTTCTTTTAAAATCTACTTGAGGACCACTTTAATGAGTGCTTGGAGCAGTTGGAGAGAGCAAGTACTGAATGGTTTCGTGATGCTTCATACTTTGGCATGTATGGCTACCTCTCGAAGGACCATGAAAGCAACCTCACGAGTGGCTCTCCGTGGAAATGGGTTTACGCTCGCTGGAAAGAACTCGAGTCCAAACTTCAAAGCAATACTAGTCTAAGATAGGACACATGCAAACTTGCCAAACAGGCTACAGGAAATAGGCCCTCTATATACAAGTTCAAATGAAACCCCAAAACCAAACGAACAACCAAACGCATGTCAAGATGGTTAGCATCGTTTCCAGCCATGACATGCCTTCGGATGTTCATTGATGTTGTTTGGCATAGAGGCGGCGGAGGATGTTTTTGGTCCACACAGCCACTTTGGTTTCTTTTTGAGCACCGGGTTGTTCCATGTTGTCCATGTTGTCCGGCCGATGGGCCAAGGGGTGTCAAACTCCAAGTGGAGTGGAAAAAACATACATTGTTACATGCATGCTTGTTATTGTGTAAATATACATACACATACACGAATTGATAGAATAGCTTTGGGTTCATCTCAGGACTATAGAGTTTCTTTTCATATCCTTTCATACACTGATTAATTGACATACCAGGGGGTCACAGGTCGCGAGTTGGGTGGGGGCTGGCTCGTCCCATGGATGGGGCTCGTGGATGTGAGGTTCTGGGGCACCCCCATCCTTCCTCCATGTTCGTCCGCACCCGGACATGGAAGCCATTGCTCTTCGAAATCCTCAAGTATCTTTTTGTTCACCTGGAAAGCCACGGAGTGGTCTAAATCGGAACCGAACAGCAATCGGAACCGACCACATGGTTCCTAAATCCTTAATCGTTTTCGATCCGAGTGGTCTTTTCGATCCCCAGGAGTCAGATCCAGCGGCCCCGGAGCCTCTCGATGCCACTTGGCGCCCGAGTGGTTCGTCGACGGAGAGACGGTGGGAGAGACGGTCGATGCAGGGCACCCAAAGACAGGTCAGCAAGAGGACGCGGGGGGGTGGCAGGATGATGAGATGGACAAGACATGGGATAAGAGCTTTGACCATCCATGTCGTTGTGTTCATCAAGAGTCTACTATGTGTGGTTCTGAAGAGTTCGGCTTCTTTCCCCTGAAGTTGGCTCCACTCTTTGGTCAACATGGTCCACTCAATGGTTGGTGGTGCTGATCTATCTTTTGTGCCTTCCACGTCCGAGAACCTCCGATGATGCGTACATGATCAACTTGGATCAGATGCGGAAGGCCGGGTGCTTGGTGGGATGCTGGGATGGGAGCCTCGCCTCGATGGACCTCGTTCCATATCACATTGGCTCCATGATCAATAAATCGTCAACATAACAACTATTGATTGGTCAAGATAGTCAAATTAACACATAGATAGTAAATATGTTGATTGGTCAAGACGACGTTTTGGCCAAATCCGGGTCCTGACCAATCCCACGGTCGCTGCCCACGGTCGTCGATCGCCTGGCTTCGATGATCCCTCCTCCGGTGCGACTTCGAACGGAGGGTCGGGACGAGGCACACCACCCCGAGCGAGCGACATGTGACTGCTGGTGGAAATGATGGACATCTGGCAGTATTGAGACAAGACACAGATGGTAAATACGGTCATTTGGGTGCTTCTTCGGTGTTTTTTCGTGGGCATGGCAACCCTTTCAAAACTTCAGTGGTTTCATGTTCCCCATTTCTGTGGCCGTTTCATCATTCTTTGGCTCTAGGGCCGGAATGGTTTTGCTGCGCGTTGAGTCTTTTGCAGCCAGCCGCGCTGACCCCGGAGGCGTTGGAACAGCAAGGCTTCGAACACTTGGAGCAGTGCCGGGAATTCCAACAGCTCTGGGACGCCATTGGGAAAGAGGCGCAGCACGGCCTGGTTTGCGTCAGAAGGAGATCAATCTGATTCTCCTCTGGTCAGAGTCAGAGTGATGTATCTTTTTTCTGCGCCACCTGGGTGGCTGCCAGTGAAAGGTCCTAGAAGACCAGAGAACCTGGGTCTGCTGCTTGCAGGATCAATGACGATTTCAATGATGTTCCTCAATCTGGGATCCTCTTCTAGGGAATCTGTGCATTCTACTGATCCAAGTATGCTAATTTAAGCAAGTTCAAGATCACCCGGAAGCTGGGGTATTGATCCTCCAGGTATCTGTGAAGCGGCATATGTACTTCTCCACACCCACACCCCACATCGTGTTGTTTGCTTCGGGGTCATTGGTCAAAGATTTTGAAGTTTCAGAGAGATTGGACTCCTTTCACCTTTCTCACCTGAAACATGCTTTTGCTCCTTAGAGGATTGCAAGGCCATCTGAACTTGCCGCAAGAGTTGGACAACACTTTTTTGTCAGAAAAAAATTGAGGACTTCTGCATCCATTTCCCTCTTCTCAGGGCTTTCAGTCATAGCATCTCTTACATCAGTGGCCACCATCACAGTCAACTGACGGCTTGTTGGACCAAGGTGGCGGTGAACCCATGATAAGCCCATATGAAAACATCGAAGATCACTTCGCCAACCCAGATGCGACCATGTTCACTCTATGAATCTCCATGATCTGATGAAAGAAGGATGAAAACGAGAGCCCCTTTTACTTCTTCTGGGCCTCACGGCTGGTAGGTTTCGTGGTCCTTCCAAAAGAATGGTCATCCTCTCCTCTCCTCTCCTCTCCTCTCATGTTTCGACCTGCTTCGACTTGCTTCTGCGCACCACAGCCAGGGGCTCGATCTGCAGAGCTTCCATGCGGTGCTAAGACACCTGAAGCTGCACCTGTCAGCGACCTACACCTGATGACTGTGGTCGGACGAGAGCTCTTCAAGTAAAGTCTGGCAGAGCCAGCTTGGATGAGGTTGGTACGAGGTCCAGCTAGGGAGAGAAACCTACACCTCAAAGACAGGTTATTTATAATGAGTTCGTCAACCTGACCAGACACAAATGAGTGTTCATTTTCTTTGCCGATGGGCCCAGTTGTAACACCTTAATCAATGTAAATCGAAGGGGGACATTGAAGCAACTTATCAGCGACATTGTTCTTTTGAGATGGACAGGTCCGTTGAGTCTAACACCGGATGTATTAACTATTTCGCAACAATAACACATGGAAGTATATACTGTATCCTTTTCGAGTCGAATGATTGCTGCTGCACCAGGTTATGTGGAAGCTTGGATTGGTCCTCCGCGGCCTCACCGGCGCGAAATTTGCATGGCAAAACTTCCCTCATCCTGCGACGAAGCACAGACTCCCCTTGTTTCGGATTGATGACTTGTGGAATGGCATGTTGAATGACATGCTGTTGGTATATACGAAAACATTACACAACACTACAATACATAGAGAAATCTTTGGCCAGATAAAAAAGAAGCTTCGATCTGTGACACCCTTTAACCGTTTTTCTCACATGTTGGCTTTTCCGGGAAAAAGGGTCGACAAAGATGTCACACCGCTCCACAGCAGGCAACAGGCCAGGTGGCTGATCTACCAGAGGACTCCGGGCTGTTCTGAACCGTTCGGCCGGGGCTGTTCGGATTGGGCGGTGGGTTCGTGTGGCTTTTGGCCCAGCCCGTTTTGGACACGAGTCGCTGGTTTGGCCTTGGATTTTTGGAACAGGCTGTGGCTGGTCCCTTTTGGCATCGCTGTTCCGTGGTTGGATCATCGCATTGAGCGAAACAACATGTGTAACAGATCTGGCATCAACAGTCTCATTTGGTGTACCAACAACATGGTTGCAGCAACGTGTCGGCCGCTACCGAAACGTCGGGTCTGATGTCTCGCCAAAGGAGAAGGGCTTTCTGGGCTTTATTGATTGGTGTCCTCGTCGAATCGAAGACCACTACTTCAAGAAGCCACGCTCTCAGAGCAGAGGACACGCCGTAGATTTGAGGCGGCCAACAAGACTAGGAAAGAAGCTGCTTACATTGCAAGCACAATCAGCAAACAGTATGGCAGACCCTATAACCCGAAGTATGCAAATTCTACAAGGATGGCGGAGCTGTTCCAAGTCATTGATAGCATGCCCAAGAATTCTCCTGTGATATTATCATCGGAGGAGTTCTCCAGGTGGAAGACAGCAGAGTGGAATTACTTCAAGAGCCAACCTGCTATTCAAAAGCGGTGCTTGTCGATGGTAGTTACGCATCGGCAAGTATGGAGTTTTCAGGCATCGGTTTGGAATCAACACAACAAACTGAACAAACAGGCAATGCCGCAGCCTTTTCTCATCACAGTTTTGAAAGACAAGAATCACTACACGGATTTCCAGCTGAAACTATCACCGTTGAAATTTTGGCCTAGGGTTTGCGCTTTCCCAAAGTCACCGGCTTGACAGGATTGACAAATCAAACCTACATGGATCGTCCAACTTCCGTCGATCAGCTATGGATCGCCGTGCGGTGTACATTTGTCTCGCTGCAGTTACAACTATGCTTGTCACTGCCATGCTGAGCCGAAGGGATTGTTTTTGTGAGTCTTTGCAATGGCAGGAGAAAAAGAAGAAACTAAGACTGTCAAGGTGCAAATTCCCGCTGGTGGTCCATGTGGGTCCGCACAAGACCGGCACTACCTCATTCCAAAAGTTCTTGTGCGACCACGCCCAATGGCTTCAGAAAGAGCATGGCATATTTGTGGCGGCCAACAAGACTAGGAAAGAAGCTGCCTACATTGCAAGCACAATCAGCAAACAGTATGGCAGACCCTATAACCCGAAGTATGCAAATTCTACAAGGATGGCGGAGCTGTTCCAAGTCATTGATAGCATGCCCAAGAATTCTCCTGTGATATTATCATCGGAGGAGTTCTCCAGGTGGAAGACAGCAGAGTGGAATTACTTCAAGAGCCAACCTGCTATTCAAAAGCGGTGCTTGTCGATGGTAGTTACGCATCGGCAAGTATGGAGTTTTCAGGCATCGGTTTGGAATCAACACAACAAACTGAACAAACAGGCAATGCCGCAGCCTTTTCTCATCACAGTTTTGAAAGACAAGAATCACTTCACGGATTTCCAGCTGAAACTTCTAGACGTGTTGGATTCGGCTTCTGATTCTGTAGATGTAGTGTCCTACGAATATTTGCACGAGAGAAATTACAGCCTGGCGAGTTTTGTAGTTTGCAATGCCACAAGACGGTTGGAAGGCACGGAGTGGGAGTCCTGCAAGATGGGTGTAGATCTCCATGTGCCGCTGGTTATCAATCCATCTGAGCCGCCCACAGCCTTTGACGTCGTCCGCTTGGCATATGGCTTGTACACCAAGCAAAAGGCTCTCAACAGTACGTGCAGGCTGTCTCAGTTTACCCTGGCAACCTACCATAACTCGGCTGTTTCGAGAGTGGCTGAGCAGATGCCGACACAGTGCGAAAACCTTCCCGATGAATACGTCGATGAGCTCTATTACAACCGTACCGGAGTTCTAAGACCCTCGGGCAATGCTTCCACGATCTGCTTTGTAGACGAGGGATCTCTTAAGCTCAAACACTGGAAATTACTGAGCACTTTGCTTCCACAAGGCTGCCAAATCACCACCGGGTAAGACTCCACTTTCGAGGCAAACTTCCTTGAGAGTATGCTTGTTTTCGGAGTTTGTCGGAAAGAGACAGGGGCTGGTTTAGAAGTCGGATGTTCAAAAGATTGGAGGGCAGCGGTTGGGCTGGGTAGGGTAGGCTAGCTCTTGCTTTGTGTTATCAAAGAGGTGAAGCAAGACGCAAGACGTGCTTAGTGTGTGTGTGTGTGTGCTTAGTGTGCTTAGTATGTGTGTGTGTGTGTCCACCCCTGGACAAAGGGTTTTTCACCGCCACTTCTTTCACAGTTTTCCACCACCTTTCACAAGCAGGGGAACTGGGCACTCTGTGACTGACCCAGTTCAACGAAGCTAGGTCACAGAGTGGGATATTCGGACTGATCATCCGAACGTACCTGCGCCAGTTTTGAACTTTTGACCAAGCCGTTCCAATCACTCTCTTTTGCTTTCATGGTGGTTCCACGATACTTTCCCCCAAACCTATCCCCGCCACAGCCTTGCAGCCGCTTTCCCGCTGAGCAGCGCCGACAGATCGTTCTGCAGACTTGCACCTGTGGAAACACTTTTTAAACAATACTGTTTTGGCCGACTCATGCACCTTGCTGTTCCCTCACCATTTTCCCAACGTGGTAACTGAGTCACTGAATACAAGTGTCAGAGTGTGTGTGTTGAATGGTACCGTATACGGAGACGGCGGCACGGCAAACAAGAACCTATATCGACGCAGACGCGGAGACGTCTATACATAGACGGTCTAGATGTAGGCAGATGAGTCGAAGTTTTGCTTTTTCTTAAAAGATTGTTTTCTGGTGATTCAGTGGGTGTTTTGGTGCATGAATGTACTCGTCGTTTTTTTCGAGCGTAGACCCCTCCCGAATTGGGGGGTGACAGGCTGTGGCAGGTTGCCAGCAAGCAGTGACGCAGCTACATCAGAGCCATTTAAAAAGACCTGTTGGGGACGCAGGCATGTCTTATCCAAGAGTTTTACACCACACTCCTGTGTACAGTGCTGACATGTAACAGACTCAGCGACTCAGCGTTGACCTAGCAACACAACCAAACGCTGGTTGAAATCCATGATTTCCAGGATTCCACTCTGTACCTCAGCTGGCCAGATCTTCTTCGGCACCAGTTGGAAGGGGGGTTTATATTCTGCACATGTTGCGGTGATGGGCTGCAACCGGCTCTGTACCGGCTCTGAACCGAGCGGGCAGAACGACGGCTTCCTCGGCTCTGCGAGGCTCCCGAGACCGATGGACATGTTCTTGACCCATCGGAAACCTCACATGAAGATGCGATGGGTCCGGCGCCCCAGGCCTCCCATACTGGGTGTAGGTCCCATAAGGTTGGGGAGTTGTGAGGAAGTGGGCGTTTGTGAGGATGTCGCGTTCGTGAAGTCGTTTTTTGGGCGGATTTGGGATGGATTTGGTGCTTGGCGTACCGGACAGATGAGTTTCTTGCAGGGTTGATGTACTGTCGAAGAGCCGCTAGACCGCTAGACTAAAAGATGCCTATTGTTGCTTGGCTTCGACCATCCCCTGCTGGGAACCGATCCTTCAGGGAATGTCGAGAGTTTTAGTTTCTATTTTTACTGTAATTATGTTTGTATATTCTATTTCTCATTCTGTAGACTCTTCATAAAAACCTGAGTCCTGAGTCCGGATTGAACCACCTCTTCAGGCCCGGGGGCTTGAAAATATCTCATCAAACTTCCATCTTAGTTGCTTCGTGCACAGCTCGAGGTCCACTGTGCACGTGTGGAGCGGCCGACAATTCTGCGTCTTGCAGTGAAGTATCAGCTGCACCCGCTGCCGGTCATGTGCCCAGCCAGCGTGGCGCTGCGGCGATGAGGAGAGATGGGGTCAGACCATCCCAGAGACCAAGTAAATCAACGCCAGGATGACCAAAGCAAGCAGTTGAGCAGTACTGTTGAGCATCTTGGAAAGTATTAATTCATGTTGATTCTGAATTGATTGATTCTGAGAGTCAGTGCGGTCAAGGAATGTGAGTGGTAGGCTTCACTGCTTCCATCGCCCCCTGCGGTTCTCCTAAATCGTCTATGAATGTGTTCATACCCCATGGTGAGCTTTTCACCCATTCCTAGGCTGAAGAAGGGAAAGCTTTGTTGAAGCCATTCATTCATGCCAAGGAGATACCGTCAAGACCCTCGCTACGACCCAAACATCCTACTGTACTTAAAACCTTTTAAACGCCTCCGCACGTGCGACATCTTCCTTGGAACATCCCCAGGTTGCACCCCAGGTTGCACCCACCTGAAAACAACATATTAAGAAAAAACCATGTATCTTGTATCTTTTGGTCCGTCCCAGGTGGAAGATACCATCCAACTCGAACAGCAGTCTGTTCCCATCGCTGGGGAGCCGAAGATGGACCGGGCCGTTTCGACCGTCCACCATCGAAGGCGTCGAGGCAGAAGAAGAGTGACGTCCGACCGCTTTTTGCAGGGTTTTTCAGAGGATCGTCTCGTAGGTTGGAGTGGAGTATGAGTGAAGTAGAGCATATAAGCGGATTTGAACCACCTATTTACCGGTTCTTTTTACGGAACAACCATCATTGTTGTACTCAGGATTTTGGATTGCTAACACCCGGTCCACCATTTTTGGTCTTGGAAGGCTAGGGTCGAGTTGTTTGGCGATTCTAATAGGATGGATGACCGTCCGACATCAACTTCAGGTCCAGACGACCAAACGACAGGTGTCAGTTTCGCGTTACCTGAGGTACGGAAATACAATGACAACTTCTTCATTGTCATCCCGCTCTTGCGGCTCACCGAAGAAGCAAAGAGGCGCTGCTTTCCACTGGCCAGCCGATGGCACCGCACGGGCACGGCTTCGACTCGAAGCCAGGAAGCTGAGCATCTACAAGGAATACCGCACCAGGCACGGCTTGGTCTGGGAGGCTTCGAGTCGGGTAAGAACCCGACGGTCCTTTTTTTGGAAGAAAGAAAGAACTTCTCATTCACAGGTCCCAAAACAGAAGTCTGCTGGCATTCTTAGGGTGACAAAAGAATACGGATGCCAGTGCCTGGGAGCCAAGAGAGGTGGGTCGAAGCCGCCTCACTCTTATGGGTGCTGTCAGGTTGTACATCCACGTAGTATCACGTGCTGTTTGGACAATGGTTGTGCTTGCCTACCCTGAGAGGGGAAGCCTCAGTGGTCACTCAAGCGGAACGGCGTAGGCACTAATCATTGGAATTTTTTAATGTGTCATGGCTGTTATCTAGAAGGATTCAGATCCACTGATCACATCATCCAACAATAAAGACTCGTTCACACCCCAATTTCCGCTGATTCCTTCGTTTTATCTATAATTATAATTAATTATATATATATAGTGCCTGGATTCCGTAACACGACTCCTGGATTCCATGTTCTTTGTGCCGTGTTCGATTAGGCGAGCCTCGGACGACCTGAAGCTGGAAGACCTCATCGACATTCCGCAGGACGGGGGGACGGACGGACCAAATGCCGCGGGCGTTCCAAAACGGGTCCGGTGGTCCGGTGGTGTTCGGATGGACAAGGAAGTCCGGTGTGTGTGTTTAGCACTTCAAAAAGGAAACTTATATACAAGAGTATATGAGTTATACAGTATTAATAAGGAATGATACGACAGTTTCGAATGAAAGGGGAGTCACTGCAGTCACTAGGAGTTGCTCGAAACCAGGCTGCACCCCTTGAGATGCACCAAACACTGAAATCCACATCCGAACTTCTCCACACCTGACAAGCCTATGAAGCATCTGGCGACAAATCATGAATTAGGATGTTTCGGTAAGGATGTGGAAGCCAACCATCGCCCACCTTCCGCTTTGACTTCTACCAAAACCCTCAGACCCCTAAAGAACCGCCCTACGTTGTACCGCACGGCTTCGGCCTTCTTCACCGGTCAGGTGGAGCAGTGTCGCTTCGCAGCCTTCACCGCTGGGCCGCCACACTATGACACGGTCCCCGGGTCGAACTGAGAGCGCTCCAGGGGTCCTCTGGAGTTCATGGACTCAGTGGACGGGACGGAGGTTGACGTGTCCGCATGATTTTTGGGGGAACTCGGGGGGAGCAGATGGAAGAGACTGTGGACTGGAGACTAGTGTTCTCAGTCTGAGCAACTGGGTTGTGGCATGAAACGTGTGGGCTTCTAGATGATCCAGATTAGATTTGCAAGGGTTGCAAGGTGTTCATAGCTAAAGCGCTTGCACCGCTGTGGTGAAAGACTCGAACATTGAACCTCATGATTCTCAGGTGCAGAAGCATTTTTGGAATTTGAGCTCTTGCCATCAGGTCATTAGCTTCATGACCGAGTGGAAAGTCAGCAAGCTGCATGCGGACAATTACGACAACGAAGGCCGATGCGAAAGTGAGCGGAGTGATGCACGTGTGGGGTGGGCTGTCTCCCAAACGGGAGGTCTCCAAAGGTGCTTGTTCGCACGGGAGGTAGGTGAACTCGACTCCCAATGCTGGAATTGGATTAGTGGACCCTCCAGGGTTCACTAGTAGCATCCTCCTCTCCACGCAATACAGGCTCACACATTTGCCACACCCTGTTGAAGGTGCGCGTGCGTCTTTTCTTTCATTTTTCTTGTGCTATTACAGGTGGTGCAGGAGTTTTGTTCCCATCAACCTCCAAACCCTTGCAGATGATTAGCCAGGAATCCAGTCAGTAAGGATGTGGGACCTGAGCAACAACAGTTCTAGTTCTTGCAACGATCCCAACGACTAGTGCTGCCATGGACCAGACGTGGTGTCCAGCACCGACCTCAGCCATGGGCTGCCCGATGCGGCCTGACCACAGGCCTACCGGTGGCAGGAGAACCACAAGCGCTCCCATGGTTTACACCAGGATATCGGAGAATGCGATGAAGCGAACCGGACGAAATATCCAATGAACCTCCCTATCGAACTATGAATCTCCTAAACACACCATCCGATGAATCCGGTTTAGTGGCCTTTTCGTGACGTGTCACGAGCGAGCCAACGGTTGGCCAGGCCAATCGGCCAACCGTTCAGCTGCATCGCCTGGAGCAGATGAGATGGGACAGGGCTCACCAGGCGGAGGGGCAGTTGAGTCGGGTCTACTGGTCTACCTGGCCATGTTGGGAGAAGCACATTGGCGGATTGAAGTACTTGCAAGTTGTACCAATTTGCGCAGTGTTTCTGAAACCAGCAATTCTTTGTCATATATATATATATATCATTCACGTGGTCTGGAGCCCACTTAAAGATCTTAAAGGTGGATGAACCCCACAAAGCTTTTAGGCCAATTTCTTGTATGTCTTATGTCTTGGAGGACTTGATATTCTACAGGGCCACCTGGAATAGGGTTCATTTGGCCGTATTACTGACCACCCCCAGGTTGTCAGTTCAACCTTAGCAGGCGAGCACCTGCATAAACAGGGATCGGACATCAAAACGACGAAACCCTTCCCCCCACACCTGCCTGCCACCCTTGAGCCAGGAAGACCCTTGATGGAAACACCACTTCCCATGTCCCGAACTTAGACTTGTAGCCTTCCGATGTGCATTTGCTACTTGTAATGGCCGGAAATGTTACTACTTACCAGGTGATCTACTACTTGAAGGCCTACTTGTATAGCCCGACGATTGCAGGTTCTGCAAAGGCCAGGTGTGGCCCCCCAGCTAAGGCCGGTGCCCACGCCTGGCGGTGGTGTGGTGAGCTCTATTCAGCTGAGATTACCCTCGGCAAGGCCACAGTGGACAGAGAAACGAACCTGTTTTGTTGGGTGAGAGGAACAGGTTTGACATGTTTACGATGTTTACTCCTAGTGCTTGGTCGTATTTCCATATACCCTATGTATTCTCTACAATTACAACTCTTTGCAGAATAAATACTCATTTTTGTTTTTTTTGGGCAAAGGTTAACACTTAACTGGGACCTTCTTCATTTCATGAGGCAAGTGCTGGTTGGGATCCAGAAGTAGTACTTCACGCCTTGACTCGCTCCTTCATGGCGTTCGCACGGCATCGAGTTGGATTCTTCATGCTTGCGTCACTCGCAATGTGGCATTCTTTTGCCAACCTTCAGCAAGCCTTGGTGGAGTCCAGTCGAGCACCAGCAAAAACTCCAGCGACATGTTCCAGAAAGGCTGCCAGAAAGGATGGCGGCAATCAAGCGGAGGTGTTCCAAGAGGGAAGACAGCTTCTTCGCAGAGCCATGATCACGTCCTCGAGTTGGTGTCTATCCCATCCGTTGTGATGCGCAGACGTCCCACACGCTTGATGTGGTCGGATTTGGATCAATTGCCAGAACGACTTCCTTCGAGGTCGAGGCACTGGCAGCAGGGGTACCAATTGTCAAGGACTTGATCGGAAACATAAACACGCTCAATCTCGTGCTTGTGCCGAACCTTTGGAAGCTTGCGCAATTGTCCCTCGATCTGGCCCAGCACTTCGACAATCTGGCCCTCTCTAAAGCCACCATAGACGATGTAGACACGGCCTTCAACTTGGGTGTTCGATACCAGTACCTTGACATAGGCGGAAATGTGTCTGTCCATGTGAGAAGCATGCGGCACAGCGCTGAGTGGCTTGAGGATCGATTGGTCAACGTTACAACAGCTAAATCGGCTAAGAAGTTTCTTCGTCACATGAATGACGACATTGATGGCTGGATTCGCAACTTTGAACAAGATTACCAGGCCTACTCTCTTCTGATCGAGAAAGTCCGCCAGTTGGCTAATCAGGTCAAACTCGCAAAGCAGCAGTTGGAGACTAGCTCTTTTGGAGGTATTAAACAAGCTATACAAGCTTGTTGGGCAGTTTTTCTACTTTGGGAAGGTCCGGTGGCAGCAGCCGTTGTAGCAGCTCCAGGCTTGATCGAACACATTGCGGCGGAAGTCAACAAAATCAGTGTTGTCAACCTTCAACAAGATATCGCGCGCTTCGAAGCTCAACTCGGAGAGTCACAAAAGTCGCTGCTTTATGTGAAAGGAGACATTAAGGATTTTAAATCTGATGAGATGAAGTGGCTACAAGATGAAGACACAGGTGAGGAGTTGCTCAAAACCCTGAAAGACGAGAGCGGCATGTTCAAAGACCTTTTTGATGATCTGAAAAAGCAGGCTGCACGATTTGAACATGAGCCAAAGGACTCCTCTTAGATGCAGTCGCGTGCTGCTGACTGACAGTGTTTTATTAATTTGTTGCCAAATTATGCGCAGACTTTTTGATAGGGCAACCCGCTCAGACGTTGCTTGCGCAGAAAACAAGGTTGCAAGCCACCAAGGCTGAGGCTGAAATTCAGTGAACTTTCACACCACTCACAAGGCACCGAACAGTTTCTTTTGTGGGGCAAATCTGGTACGCCGAGCTGCGCCGTTCAGGCAAGACTCGGGGGAAGAGCAAGACTTCTTTGCAGGGGTATAGCTGGCCTGCTTGGTATTTCTGCGTGATAAGCTGGCTCGAAAAGGGCCCAGGTGGTGTGAATTGAACAATGAGAATCTGTTCTTTCTCGATGGGATTCTCCAGTCAGAAAGCACATTCCTGAAAGATTCCAAAGATCTTCATCTCATTTGTGTTTGGCCTCATCGTTGTTTGCTTCGGGCATCCCCCCCCAAAATGGTTGAGGCTCCAATTCTTCGAGAGCCTCGACGGCGGGGCGTTCGACGGCGTTCGGAGCTTGCTCGCCAGGTCGTGCGACAAATCCAGCGAGACTACTCCATGCTGCGCTCGGGGAATTCCTCCTGGGTCTTATGGTGGCCAGCTGAGGGGGCGAGCAGCGCTATTGGTCACCATGCTAGCATCGTGTAAGAAGTTCACTTTGCCATGCTCAACCCACGAAAAAGCTCTAATTATTTTGGTTTCAAGTTGAGCTGGTTGAAATGGCAATGAACTTTCTCCACACCATCACCTTTGATTCTTTTTGTTCGGTCACAATCCTCTGTCTCTCACTCGACCTGGCTGCGTCAATCCGCCTGACTGACCAGGCGTTTGTTGGATGTGACGGTGGATGAGCTTTCGCCCATCCTCTCGGCGTGACGAGCTGAGTCCGAGTCCGAAAGACCCAGGAGGTAGGCCATGACGGCCAAGCGGGGTCGAACAAACTTGTGGGAAATCATAAAATTTTTTAGATAGATTTTGAACATTTATTAATAGACTCTTGATTATGAAAGCCCCCCCATTTGGATTGAAGAACCTCTTAACCTCTTCTTCAAATATGATGTCATATGGGGGTTTATTAGTTAATCAAGCGTCTACAATTAGTTGAACATGTCCCAGCTCCACAAAAGACGACGAAGATGTTCGATCTGCCCAGAACCTCCGCTGATCTGCCCAGGTACCGAGCACAACTGCGGTGGTTCTCAAGCCTCATCACCCGGGAAGAGGCTCGGGTCTCCAAGGACGTGGAGAAACGCCTCCTGCGGAGCAAGGTGCGGGAGTATGGCTTCGATGAATGGGTGGGGAGGTGTCGGAGCGTGGTGGATGGGGTGTGTATGGTGTGTATTAAAATCGGGAGATCTCCCAGTTCGACCCCCTGGAAGAAGGAAAATAGACCAAAACACATATATCAATTTCATATCAAAAACCATTGGGTCAGGGGGACAGCTCAAGAATCAGACCAGGCAAGGAGGTTTGGCAATTTGTTTGATGTTTTTGCCATTTCTGCTTTGGAGCCACCACCAGATGCACATGATTCTCACTGATTGTTCTTGCAGAATGGCACGATGTTGAAGCGACCCAATCTGGAATCTCATTCTCACTCAACCGTGCGCGTGACGCTCGCCAGGTGGAGCTGGATTGGCTCCAGCGGAAGGTTCGCCCAATGATCAAGGTGCTGAAGCACATCATCAGAGACAAGGCCAGCTCTTTGAAAAGCCATGAGAATGTGTGACGAAACAAAGAGATGACCAACGTGTTGGTTTGTTTATGATATGGTTAAAGCAAGCTGGTACACATTTTGTCACATAAAAGAGAAGCCAAGAAGATTTGGATCCGGCCCGGAAGCCGACTGCCCCCCACATTTGACCCATGGGTCACGCAGCGGTCGCGAGGCCTTTGACCCCAATGTCACGCGCTACTTGGAAGACATCGAAGATCACCTCAACACCTTCCTTGAAGAGGCGGCCGTTGCGACCAGGGAGGGTCAGTTACGACATGTTACGACAATTCTTGCGGACTTCACCATGAAGTGGCAGTCTTTCGTGGAAAAACTACAGGGCCAAGCACCAACAATTACACCCTTTTTGGTGGTTTTTGAGCGTCAGCGGGAACAGCAAAAAGGACATCCATAGCACCATCGGCACCATAGACGTCCCTTTTTAAAGCGAGCCGTGGATGCTCTGGCCCCCAAGAACCTGCCAGACGTTGCGTCAGGCACGTCGACCGAAGCCAGACTGATCCGGATCCATCTTTTTTGTTCAAGAACGGAAGTCGCAGGGAAGGAAGCAGGGGTCGGTGGCCTCTGCGGGAGGGTCTTGCAGGAAGTGGGGAAGAGCCACCCCCCCCAGCTACCCCCCAGCTACAGCACCTGGTCACCGGGGTGACTCGTTGGTGTTCGCTGGCTTGGGCGCGTGGGCGTGCAGCAGGTGAGTCGCATCATGGGAGTTTGCCACTCCCTGAGGGATGAGGTGAACTCCTACCGCGATCGACAGCAGCAGAAGGTGCGCTGACTGCATGTGACTGACTGAGCTTCCATGGCTGAAATAAGAACAAGGGAAAAGAACAGGATATCAGTCTGAATCAAACTGACATGTCAGCCAGATTTAGGTGGGAGAGGCAAGTTAATCTATGGAAGCAGCACCAATTGGTCAGAAATACTGAACTGAATTGATGCACCAAGTCAAAGAAGAAGCCAGCAAACAAGTACAGCAAGCTTCATTCGCTCAACGAAGCGCTACACCTACGAGACCGGTAGTGCGATGTGGTACGTGACAGGCAGCCAGATTCCGTTTTCCACGTGTCTTGACGTCTGCGCGTCCGCCACGTCCAGGTCTTGTATGTCCTCACACTGGTCACCACGCTTGTGATGCCGACTCACCTCCTCACGGGAATCTTCGGCATGAATTGGCAAGATGAGGACATGCTCAAACGGAACGGCGGCGGTGGCGCCTTCGTTCGTTGGCTCCCGCTTTTAGGAGCAAGGTAAGGTGGACTTGGCCCTTTGCTTTCCACTAGGCCAAGTATGTAAATACAGGTTCATATCATTCCATCTCGGAATACATTGTCCGAGTCCTATCCTTATCCATCTATATCTATCTCCGGTTTCTTTGCTCAACCTCAGAAGCTCCCCACGCGCGCATCTCGCGCCGGGGAAAGCCCGCCCTTTTCCACATGTCTCGAGGAGGGGAAGCCCGTGGTGCCTGGCTTGGGAGTCATGGAGGAGAGCCGCGGCTACTATCTCTTTTGGGGCGACCTCCGACATGTCTTGGACGCTTCGGACGCTTCCGAGGGATGGGCGGTAACAAAATTGATGGGAGGGTTGGTATTTGGATGTATTTGGTGAAAGTGTGCGATGAATAATCCGGCAATCCTGCAAGATCATTGCCTGCTACCACCTGGTTGGTCCGAAGATATAGTGAAACATAGTGAAACATTTTTTTTTTGCTGACTGCAGTCGTTTGATTTTCTGAAGTTTCACGTTTCACATAGTTTCACGAAAGATGTACATTTAGACATCGCAAAAGTCTAGCTTTCTGTTCTTAAACTTTGCACAACATTCTTTCATCATGATGACGGGGTCCTTGTGGATTTTGTGGTTGTCTTTCAGGTGTTTTTTTGGGGGGGCGGGACGCTACGAACGGGGGCTCCTGGCATCGCTAGTAGGAGCGTTCGGACGCTACGCACGGGGCGGACTTGGTGTGAAGTCCAAGACCCAGACGAGATTTCTGCTTCTTTCGGCCCAGAGAGCGATCACCGATCCACGTGGACTTGGCAGCTGCCAGGTCTGTCTGTTGGGCTGACAACTCTGATTTGGCTCACTTTCTCTCGAGTTCTCAAGTGGATTTGAGACTGCTTTCGGGACGGCGATTTCTCATGTTGAGAATGAATGAGATCTTAGTTGCCAGGTGTTCAGATTCCTCAGTTGCTAGGTCGTTCCTTCTGCCCCGCTTGTACAGATGGTTTCCTCCTCCATGTGCCCTGCACATGGCTTATGACTGCCTTGCGAGGTCATCCCCATCCACCCTTGCGCCCGTGGGGTGGGCCCCTTCGGCACTGTCAAGCCTTGGCCCTTTTTCCTTTACAAACAGGGGGTTCCCAACAATCACGTCCAGGGCTTGTGGGGCCCAGTGGATGGCCTGAAAAGCCGTGCAGTCGGGATTGGGAGGTTCCAACCGGGCCTGGCAACCCACACCTTTGCCAGAAATCTGGGTTGGTCTCAAAATGAAGGCACCTCACAAACCGAAGAACTGGACTGATGGTGATGTTTTCAGGGATCCATTTTGAGACACACCACTGCGGCGTCACAAATCTCTTGACCGGACTGAACTGCCTGGTGACTTGGTGTTTCTCATGTTTCTCATGAGGGCCATGGACAAGAAAAAGGAGGCAGGAGAGTTGACCTCTCTGTAGACCAGGCTTCACATGCAGAAAAAAGTGTTGTGAGTGAAAGATGTTTAGCAAAGTTCCACTTCCATACTGTAGTGACCAAGTGCACATCCTGGTGTAGTGCAATGCAATGACGGAATTCTTCAGACATTCACCAGCTCCATCCGGAGAACTCCCTTGTGACTCTGCAGACGGCGAGGCTGAGCCTCGACCGACACGCCCGCAACAAGCGTCCGCGAAGAAGACTCTCGTCCGACCCGACGAAAAAGGGGCGGTTTCTTGTGGCGCAATGACCAAATCAAGACTAGACTCTTGAGTCAATTGAGTACAAGTAACATCAAGTATATGTTAAAAGGCACCAGAAACACACAGGCATCAGATATCTAGAAATCCAAATGGGGGAGGTTTTTGCTGATCACGATCTGCGAAGGTCAGAATGGCAGATCTGCGAAGGTCAGTGTGGAACGAACAGGCAAAATGTCGACATCATGTGACTAGACATAAGACTAGACAGGACATAGACCCCAAAGAGATAGAAGTTCGTAGATCCCCACTTCATTCTTGTGTTGGGAACCCGTTTGATCTATTTGGGGATCACGCGACACAGAGTCGCTGTGTATCTCTATGTGGATGACCCATGGCACCTATGGCACCTGGAGCGCAGGGTATTCCCCTGGGAGGGGGTATTCCTGGCTGGTAATCTGTTCATTTTGGGTGGTTAACCCGGGTAGCCCGTTTTTGACCCACACCCATGATATATGTGACTGGCGGCTCATCTTGGCTCCAGAATTGCTGCCGTCGCCGCCCAGAACCTCTGGCATGCGGTGCCTCGACCTCTGGCATGCGGCGGTACTGCTGAATGCAACAGGAACTGAAGTTGTATGACTTAGTTCCTTAGTTCGCGCTGAAACCATCAGGTCCCTCACATCCCTTGTCGAAAACACGTGTTCAACTCCTCTTCGGCCTCCTCTTCGGCCAACTCACCAGCGGTGTTTGATGCACACCTCTTCGGCCTCTGAAGACGAGGACGCCAGTCTTTCGGGGCTCTGGAGAATTGTGGGAAGAAGAAGTGCTGCGATGCAGAACGTACCGTGTGTTCTGGCCCTGTGGGGGGGGGTTCTTGCTTTGCTTCGGTTTCACTTGGGAGGGGCCAGAATGGTTTAAACTATTTGCATGTGGTTTGCCAACTTCTAAGGAGGGCCGTTCCACTGCGCAAGCAAGGTGCTCGGGGCCAGAATGCAGTATCTTCTTGTTGCCGAGAAATTGAGTGGCTCTTGTTTTTCAAAATTGGGGTGACATCTCAGTGCAGTTTTCATTTTGTTTGAAGAGTGTTTGAGGGTTGATCCGGACCTTCGATCATCGATGCTAGCAGTGCTTCAGATGACTTGATTCATTGCACGAAAGCATTCTCATCGCACCCATTTCCTCTCAAGACCCAATTCGGCTCCAATGTGCCAGGCAAACGCCAGGGCGATTTGTGTTTATATTCACCATCCTGCAACTTTTTGTGTGGCTGCGAGGCAGTGGCCGTGCCGCCCGTGACCTCAGAAACCCCAGTGTAGCGCCATGGATTTCTCTTTGGCCAGCCGCGTGGTGGCAGATTTACGACCGCCGCTGCATCCGGTGAAGGTGTTGCCCACGCAGATGGTGGAGGCCGAACGATTGAGCCGTACACGGGCAGCGGTGTGGCTCTATGGGAGTGCTACCTTATTGACGTTGCTGGGCTTGGAGTTGAGGCGGCAACCATGTTGCAGGAGAGGCAACTCGTTGTTTTGAAACCGGCATCGACTTCGAAGATGTTGGGGAATTGGTGTACGGGATCACCGCCATCGACTTCGAGCGATTGTATTCAGGGTAGTATACGATTGTATCAGGTCTGGATCGGCCTGGTGAGTTTCTCTTCTCAAAATGAGCAACATCCCAAAGGGTCTGTACACACATCTTTATGTGAGAGGAACTATTATCTTGTAAAGCGATATAGGGAAGCACAAAAAGCGACACCATCATTTCATGTTATTTCCTGCATGGTATTTCTTGGCTTGGCAATTTCTGCTTTACATAAAGCGATACCACCCTTTAAAAGATGAAAATGGTGTCTAGATGAGCGGGAAGCCGGGAAGCTTCTTTTGTATCATTTTCTACTTTGTGTATGCCACAGATGAAGAGATAGAAAAAGAATCGATGGGGCAGTGAAGCGGGAAGGAAGGGCTGGCCTTGTGAAGAGAATTCTCTCTCGCTCTCTCTCTCTCTCTCTTTCTTGTGTCTCCCAACATCTCCCCGCATCCATGTGTGAACTTGTCACAGGCATCCGAAACACCGTGGTTTGCCATATAGCCGAACCCCCAATTGCAATGCCATGGAGGGCCACGAAGCGATACCCACCGCTTCGACGGAGCTCGCCCCGCAGGAAACCTGGGCCGCGCAAGGACGACGCCCGAGCAGCCTTGTTGGAGGCCAACGAAGAGAACGGGCTTCCGACCGAAGACGAGGTGGCAGATGAAAAGGAGCATGAATATCATCGTGCGCGGACAAGAAGTGGTGTTTCTTGTTTTCTTCTTCAATGTTGACAGCTCTTGTTGGAGTTGATAAAAGTTGAGTTGCATCAAGTCTTAAACATCACGGCCGGAATGCAAAGCCATGTTTTCCGTCAGTCCACTGCTTCAGCTTCCATGCCACAGATCGTCACCGGACAAAACAGCACGGGACAGCTAGCTATACATAGACTGGCACACACACCTCGCCATGCGATGCGATAGTATCCTCCATGGGACTTGGATGTTCTTTTGCCTTTTCTTCTCAAAAAGAATAGCTACTGTAGCGGTCACAGGCCTCGAATAGCTTGAAAGTCAAAGGTCTCAAGAAGAAGCATTTACTTCGAGAGTCCTCTGCCTCAAATCATTGGACACCTGACGGACCTGACGTTTTCAGATGAGCAGGAGCTAGAAGCAGAACTTACACATCGCTTGACTGTTGGCTTTGTGGTTTACCACATGACATACACATACTTGGGCTTGATGCTGGTGTTCTGGGCCTGCCGCAGGGGGTACCTCAATGTCTATGGTTTGGACTGGGAGCTTTACTCCTTTTGGTTCTTGGAAAGCATTGTAACACATGTGCTTTGTCGAGCCTCCTCGAAGCAATTTCTTCGCTCCATCTGTCCAATCTTCTCTGAGCGCTACGACCTGGTGAAAGATACCGTGTCCATCGGCATCTACGCCAACCTGGACGATTGGGTGGGCCATGTGTGTGCCGCGGTGGTGGTTCTCACCATGATTGTGCCCAACATCAACAATTACATGGACCCAGTGGCTGAGCGGCTCTCACGGATTTCCTATTGGCCGCCACCGATTCCACCGACGAATGGAACCCCCGAGACCGGAAGCCGAGTTCACCGGATGAAGGTGTTTTTAGCCAAGCAGGTGGAGGAGGCAACGCGCGAACACCGCCGCATGTTGTGCCTCTTAGAGGATTTGCCACAACTTGCAGTTGCCTTGTTCTTTACCGGCTACTCTTGCTACATGGAAGGAGCCTCAATCTCACCCTTCATTCTTGTGAACATTGTGGTGGCTTTGGGCAAGACGATTTGTGTCTTTGCAGGAAGGCCTATTTGTTTGACCTGGATGGCCATGAACAAAGTGCCATGGCCGCTCCAATGCATTTCTGACACCAACGTGAATGATGTGGTTTGGATCACCAGCCGTGTAGGCGACGGTGGAGATGAGTGGAAGCTCTCTTTGCTGAAGGAGATCATGAGTTCAGAGGAGGCTGCACGAGCCGTTCGACAAGCGGCGGAACACCACCTCTGGGACATGCTTCAAGCGACTTTGGCACCGGAGAGTGGCTTCCCGCTGTTGAAGGATGAACATGGAATAGGTGTGGACCTTGTCCGGCACTCGGAAGGACAGGTCATCTTCGAGGCAGTGATTGGCTACTGTGCTAGCAGTGTGGTGACTTTCCAACAGGCGAAGCTGATGTTTGAAAAGATGTGAACAGTCTAACTATGACAGATGAAACACTTGACCTGCAGTTCAGTTCAGACCAGTTTCTTTGAAAAGAAGTCCAGACCTATCATGCAGACCGACCTGCATCTGAGCTGCCCCTCCAGGCGCAGCAGGTCATCAAAAAGTGGGAGATCTTCTCCACGGCACTCGGGTCGGGAGGTCTCCTTGGCATCCGAGCCTATGCGGCTGCTGAAGGCAATGCCGAGATCAGTGCAGATATGATCATGGGGGGTGCGCCAGAAATCCGCCCCCTGGCCGGAAGCTACTTCAAGCGATTGAGCACGGGAAGCTTGAAGGACTGATGCTTCAGTGTCCTGCGGTTCGGACGCTGCAGGTCGGTAGGTACCTGCAGTATCCTCTAAAGAACGACTAGATAGGCACTGGTCGTGGTCATGCTCCCGCCTCACTTTGGAGGTCAGCAAGTCTATTTTGCAACAGATATGATGATATGCGTGTACGTATATATATATATATATAATCTATATACATATTTTTACTCCGTACAGAAAACACACGAATCAAAAAGCATTGTGCAAGCTTCAGAGCGCCATCAGTCCCGACAACAAACAGAGGGTTGCGTTTAGACTAAAAAGCTCCGAGTACGAGGCCCTCGCGCCACGCTCCACTTATTGAAATCAGAACAAGCTGAATCTGTCTTTACAGAAAAAGAAAGAGACGACAACGAGAATGGAAAAAGCAGGAGAAAGAGCAGAAGGCAGAGTAGAAGACAGAGCAGGATGGGTGTGAGTGGGGATTGGACTGGTTTGGACTGATTTGTATGGGGTTGAGTTGATTTGGATGGGGTTGCATAGGTTTTAAAGCATGCACGAGGAAGAAGAAGGAGGAGATCAAGAACACAACGCCACTAGATGGCGCAATTCATTCTGTCCTCTTAGATTCCTGCAGCTTTGTTTCTGGCATCAACCGCTGGGATTTGGGGAAAAACATTGACTTGGATTGGAGCGCCATCCGCAGGTTCCAAATCGCAATGAAACAAACATTGATGGCACATCCCGTAATTCGCCCAGGAACCCAGTGTTGCGTCAAAAACTTTCTAAACGGGCTATACATGTCTATACTATCTGTACATCTGAAAGCTATTGATAGAGGGATTCTTGATTACTTCTTGTAGAACCCCGTCGAAGTGTGACCTGTGGTGCCAAACCTGAGCTTCTTCCTCACTGTCGTTTTTGTGTGGTTGACTGTCGTGGGTGGGCCTGTCTCACTGAGCTAGCCTCTGTCTCACTGAGCTATGCACATCATGGCGCTGGCTGCCAGAACTGTGGCAGCATACTGCATGACATGGCAGCATACTGAAAGTCCGGGGCCCGGGGAATGATGACATGTTGCCAAGGCTGTGAAGTCACTCATATCATCCATGTTTTTTCCTGCTCCACCATTTGGAAACATCCCAGTGGTAAGGCGTGAAAAGGTGTGAGTAGGCTTGATACCTTTAGAAGAATTGCTCTATCAGACTCCCAGAGTCCGGGCAAGACTGTGTCTTCCCGAAACGAACGTCTCGAGGAGCAAGAACAAGCCATCAAATTTCTGGCTTGGTCCAACAGCTTCGAGGCTGCGTGGGCCATTTTGTCTTCCCGGACGCCCGAGATCTTCCAACATCGGGATCGGGTCTTGCGCTTGGCAGCTTGCAGATCCATGGCACTCGTCGAGTGGGAGGAGTTTGGGGAACATGCTGAGGCGGGCGTTTAGGACGTGAACTTCGGAAAAACAATGAGAGAACGGGAAGGAACACGAAGTCCATGAGAAGAACTTTTTACCAAACTTGACTTAGTGATACTTAGTGTTTTTGTATGATCGGCTCCAGTACAATGAGTCCTGTAGCAACTGTTTGTTTCCTGCATTTTTGATGTTTCTTTTTTGTGACGCCGGGTGCTAGGTTTTGGCTCGAGGCTCAGAGGTGTAATGTTGGATCTTGAATAGCAACACCATTCCCCCAGCAAAACAATCAAAGGAGAGTGAATAGTGTCAAGCCCACCGAAACTCTTTGTGAAGTAGTCGTTTTCGTCGTCGTTATCGTAGCCATAGCCGTAGCCGTAACTATTTTTCCCAGGGCTCCAAGTTGCAGGAAGACAAAGGACAACTAAGACTGTGGTAACTACAGTGGTTGGTGTTTCTTCCTCATGGATATCGTTTGTGCCAACAATTCGAATTAACTAATAACTCACTACCTGGACCCTCCTGTCGGGTGTCCAATGGACTACCCCACACTACCTATATAGCGTATATAGGCTTCCAGACAGGGCACCCCTTGGAGGGTGGTATAGAAGTCTTACTAAGTCTTTATTGTGGAAAACGGCGAGGGGTGGATACAGGTGGTGTGTTGAGGTGCATGTATGTTCACACCGCAGCTTGCGCAAGTGTTCATGCAAAAAGGCAGAGCACCTTTCGGCAGCGCCTTTGTTTTTGAGCCCATACCCACTCCGCTTTGGTAGCGGAGCCCTCGAACAGCGAGGGCGGCCCTGACACCTGGGCCTGGGACGGGATGGTCGACACGCCGGCCGAGACCATCCCGGTTCCCACATGGGAAGGGGCAGAGTCCCCCGGTGGACGCTCCACCGTTCCGCCGGAGGCGGCAGCGCGAGGCAGCGCCTCAGCGACTGGCAGAGCCAGAGAGCGTGGCAGGGCCACGGAAGAAGAGACCAGAGGTCGATCGCTACATCGTGGACGCGGACGAGGCCGTGGACGACAGAACCCTCATGCATGTCAACCTCATGGAAAGGGGAAGCATGGCAAGACGAAAGGAGGCTCCGGTAAAGGCCATGTACACTACGGATGCTGCAGGTGAACACCGTTCTTCAACCCCGCCGTCACAGACCTTTCGGGCAGGATGGTCGCAGCAAATCCCTGGTTGGTATCGCTCGCCATCTACAGGACAGTGGATGTTTTGGACAGGTGTTCAATGGCTTCCGTATGATCCGATGGTGACGTCTGCTTCAATGGATGGTTCATGGTACCTGCCCCAACAGAGTTCGGAGAAGGGCAAAGGCCATGACAAAGGAGCTCCGACAATGCCGTCTTCGCCCCAGGCTTCGACCTTGGAGCATCCGAAGAAGGAAAAGAAGGACAAGCCAAAGCAAGAGCGCCCCGGAAAGTCCAAGGAAAAGAAAGAGGCCAAAGGTGACAAATCGGCTGACCGCAAGAAAGAAAAGAGAGCAGCTCAGGAGAAGAAGGAGAGAGGTCGGTCGACAGAAAAGATGAAGAGGGAAGCAGAAGGAAAGAAAGAGGCAAGGACGAAGGGATCGCCAGCCCGTGAAGAGAAGAAAGAGAAGAAAGATAAGAAGGAGAAGGATGAAGAGGCGAGACCGAGTGGCAAGGAGAAAGAAGATCCTCCAAAGCCAGCTGCGAAGAAGTCCAAGCCAGCTCCTCCCGGCCCTGATCCTCCTGATGAAGATGAAGACGACAAGTATGAAGACTACTCGGATTACACCTATTAGGGGAAGAAAGCGAGGAGGAGGAGGAGAACTTCGAAGTGGATCCTCCGGTGGAACTGCCTCAGCCGCGTCAGCCTCGGCAGAATCCACGAGATCCGCGGCAGCGTCCGCCCGGTCCGCCACCTTCGGACCCTTCATCAGGCAGAGCCTCGTCCAATAGAACTTCATCTCCGGCCAGCTCGAATCGCACCAGCTCAGCAGCCTCCACAGCAGGCACGAGTGAGCTCCGGGCCATGCTTTCGCAGCAGGCCCGCAAGCAGCAGGGTCGTTCCAAGCCATCCTTGAGCCAAGTCCGCCTTGAGATAATCAAAGGTTCCAGATCCCATTACAAAGAATGGAAGCGGACGATAGAGGCTCAAAGGGCACTATACAAGTTGGACGATGCCGAACTCTCCATGCTCATCTATCTCAGTTGCCAGGGTGAGCCGCGGCAAATCTTGAACCAATTGCAAATTGGAGAGATGCAAGAGGCTGGAGGCCTCAACCGAGTGCTCAGATTGCTGGAGGAGTCCTACGGGGCAAGATCTGATGAACGATTCGAAGAAAAGCAGGAGGCTTATTTGACATATCGTCGAACCCCAAGCAATCGCCTCCTACATCAGCACTCTCAAAAGGTTGAGATCTGAATACCTGGCCGAAGACACAGGCACCACGCTCTCAGACAAGTCATTCGCTCAGCATATGCTGAGCAGAGCTTCGCTGACAAAGAAGGAGCGCATGGACATCTTCTACAGCGCAGGTGGTAAGTATGTCAGCTCGGCCATTGAGAAGGTGCTCCGATTCCGATGTGCCAACATCCACATGGAGGAAGGCAAATACAAGGCGCATGATCGACAGCCTCGCAGATGGAAGCATGCCTCGACCTCAAGATCATCAAGGTACCACTCGCACAAGTCATCCCGTGCCCATCTGGCGGAAGTCAAGGAAGAACCAGATTGGGCCGCTGATGATGATGAGATCCCACAGCCGAAGAAGACGACAGAGAGGAAGCCCTATACGAAGATGACGACTGGGATGAGGCAGATGAAGAAGATCTAGAACAAGAAGCCTACTATCAGGGCTATGACTGGGGCTACTGGGATGAAGAAGGAGAGTGGGAAGATGATCAAGAGCTTCGAGAAGCCTATGCAGCAGGCTGGAGGGCGAAGCAAAAGTCAGCAGAAGCCAGGAAGGCCCGTGGCTACAGCAATGGGAAGTCAAAGGGCAAAGGAAAGAAAGGTAGCCGCTTCACGGAGTACCGCGCCAAAGACTAGCGCAAGGCGAAGTCAAGGTGCGCGTCCTGCAAGCAGCTTGGTCACTGGCACGGTGACCCGGAGTGCCCAAATGTCAAGAATGGCACCGATCCCCCCAGGGAAGAAACTCCCAAGAGTCCAGCAGCGGTGCACTTTGCCACGGACTCGTCGCCACAAGCCCGGGGAAGCACGCAAGTCAAGGACGAGCAACAAGGCTCCAACACTTGGAGCACCAAGGGCTTGCAGGCCCACAAGGTGAATTGGACCTTCATGGAAGGCTGGGAGCGCATTTCAGATTCCAGCTCCACGGTGTCTTCAAGTGACAGCAGTTCAGAAGAGGAACCGTTGGCCTTCAGCGCTGGAAAGACGCCGGAAGAGGCCAAGGAGAAGATCTCCAAGTACAAGGCAGCCTTGCGCACCGTGCTGGATGCGCTGGACAGTGATGTGGATGAAGGAGATCACAAGCTCAAGAAGAAGTTGCAAAAGAAGAGAGAAAGGTGAAAGAGCATGAAAGGGAGTTGAAGGCAAAGAGCAAAGCTCGACCCATGGAGACTAACCTCCCTGCAGCGGATATGCTCGAGATTCTGCCCTACATGTCCCGCGAGGAGAAGAAGCAACTGTACAAGAAGCTCAAAGAAGAACGGGACGAGGAGGCATCTTGGCAGCTGTTCAAGAAGGGGACGCCTGAAAAGGTGTCGCGTCCTGACAAGAAGAAGGAGGGCTACACGGCGGCCAGTTCGTCTACAACTCCAGCCCCGGAGCCGGCAGCAGTGAGCACTTTGCCCGAGCCGGTGAGGAAGAAGCGCCTCAAGGAGTTCAGACGAGCTCTCTATGAGGGCGCTTTGGATCGCAAGGGCCGTGTGAAACCCTCAGAGGCTTCAGAACTGCCGACACCAGAACAAGATCGCTGCAAGCATCCATGGGAGAAGTTGCGATGGGGTGCCAATGGAGCAGCCCAGCCTTGGGTGTCTTGGCCATTGTGGCCGATCGGCTGGAAACCTCCAGGACCGCGGCGTCAGCAATCTGCTGGGCAGCGTTCAGCAAACGGCGACGCTGGCCTTTGGTCAAGATCTCGCTCCCTTCTTCCGTGATGCCTGAGGGCATCCTCATAGTCATCCGAGTCATCAGGGACGCCGCCTGTATTTTCAGACTCGGAGTCGGAAGTGTCCACCTCCGTGTTTGGGCCATCTTCGTGCGAACTGAGAAGGAGCCATGGCTATCCGAGCCAGAATCATGCTCCTTGTGCTCCATGGTCCTGAGTGGGAGCTTATGCAAGACTTGATCCAGGCCTGAAATAGCCTCTTCTTCCATGTGGCTCTGCCACAATGCCAAGTCTTCCGTTTCCGATTGCCAGAGAATGGAAAGAGTCATCCGACTCCTCTGACGAGCTCTGCTCATCTCGCGTGGTAGGCGACATCTCATCCTGGCTCTCCCAGAGGGCCAAACTGTGTGGATCATCTCGGAGTAGCTTCCTCAGCTTGTTGAGCTCTGGTGTGGGAGACACCACTCCCGGGCACTGCCATCTCCCAGTACATCAAGCACCGGATGCCTCGTAGGGGACAGCTCTGTTATCTGTCGACCATCGATGATTGTGGTGCCAGTACCAAAGTCCATGGTCACCTTCCATCGAGCAAGCTCTGAGGGCCCCACCAAAGCAGGGCAGTGTGAGATACGTGGATCATCCTTCGTATCATCCACCACAGCTACTCGCAACCATGTGCGGATGCCGCTCTTGCCAAGGACAACGGGGTAGAGACCCGCTGAGGTTGAGAGCACTGGTGCACCGGCGCCGAACCTGAGCGTCTCCTCGTGGTCCAACACCTCATAGGGAAGGTGCTTCTTCTCCAGTGCCTGTTGAATCTTCTGATGCCATCGTGCCCCTGCCACAGCCGTCCTGCATCCACTGTCAAGGATGACTTTGTTGGCGGCGTGCTCCAGCATCCAAACCTCCATGGGGTCGTCCAGCTTGTTGTCTGCTGTAAGTGCCCCATGATCCATGCTGTAGTGGAGGCCT